TCAAATATGTAAAAACTAAATTTACTTTTTTGAAGGGTAGCCAAAATCACCATAAGTGAGTCTTTGGTGCCCCCTTGTGGAATGTTCAGTGTGAATTTTGAAATATTACCCTCCTCCACACAGAAACATAATGGCTATTTCTCTCTTTTAAGACACTTAAAACATTTGCTATATATGTTATTCTATTTTTAAGAGACACACTTTAAAATAAAGCCATATAAATAACTTAATGCAAACAAGGAACATAAAAGATAAAATGTTGAAAATGTTCAGTAAATGTTTGTGTCATAAATTTATGACAATTTTGCTTTGTGTCATAAATTAACCAAAGGTAATGGAAAAACTTAGCTTTACACAGTGCTAAGTATCAAACATGTTTTCTCAACAGCATTTCTATCCTTAAATTATTGCTAAGAAATCTATAATATGACTTTATTAAGTATTTAAATAGCTGGAATAAATTTAAACATCCTTATTTGTGCTCATATAAATGCTAGTGTAAAATTATCAGATCACTTTTAAGAGTGTTGTTTGTCTTTATATGACTTATCACAAGCTTCTGACCATTTTTTTCCAAACTAGGGTGTCAGAAATAGGAAATACCTGTCCTTCATGGAAATAAGTAGAAGTCATATAGAAAGAATATTCCCGCCCGTTAGCTAACAAGGATGTCAAGGGAGCAGACCACAAGGGGAAAAGATAGAGAGGTTCTTATCCTAAATCAGAGAAGGTAAAGCATTTATTGGTTTTCCCCAGAACCAACATTCATTCTTTTCCTTATGTCCTTACTAAGAAGTGAAACACAAACACGAAAATAAAGTGCCAAATTTAATCATCTCTCTTGTTTTGGAATCTTCTTGGGGACATAGAGGAGACTCATCAATAAATGTTGGTAAACTTTTTCTTATTACTTTGTCTCACTCCATAATAAGAACCTGTAAGAACGTAGTAAGTACTAGAATGTGATAATATTTATTCTTGTTTTCATGCCTCGTGTCTTTAGATTACAAAGACCTCGGGACTGGAGCAGTGGCCTTTCTCTTGAACTGAACGCTCAGATTACAGTATATTCATGAAATTCATTTAGTTTTCCAAATGATAAAGTTGTTTAGGCCACTCATGAGCTAAAGAACTACTCTGTTCAGGCTGAATTGTTGTAAATTAGAATGATTTTTTTTTTCCTAGTATACCAATAGATTTTTCTTAAATGGCAAAACAATCCTCCATTTAAGACATGGTCATTATATGTATATTGAATTTATCAACAGGGGTTCTGCAAAGAGTTTTGTCATGTACAAGTGGCAGACTACCTCTGCTAGAATCCTGGCTCCCCCCACTTACTGTCTGTGTGATCTTAGATTATCTAACCTGATTCTTGGATTCCTGACACATAAAAGGAATAAGATAATAACAGCCTTATAGAGTCACTGTGAGGAATAAATGAGTTAACACATGCAAAGGATTTAGAAGAGTGCCTATACATAGCAAATGTTCAATTCATGATTGGTTGCATTTTTTTTTCAACTAGACTTTTTTTTTTTTTTTGATGAGGGAGATTGGCCATGAGCTAACATCCCTTGCCAATATTCCTCTTTTTGCTGAGGAAGATTGGCCCTGAGCTAACATCTGTGTCAGTCTTCCTCTCTTCCTCTATTTTGTATATGGGACACCACCACAGCATGGGTTGAGGAGTCGTGCGCAAGTCCGCGCCCAGGGTCCAAACCTGTGAACCTCAGGCCGCCAAAGCACAGTGCGTGAACCTAACCACTACGCCACCAGGCCAGCCCCCTTAACTAGACATTTTTTACAAGCAAGTTAGAAATTGACTTTATAGTTTCATTCAGCATAATGCTAATGATATATCAAGGTCATATGTTCTATCCCCACAAATGCTATTTCGTTTTATTCTATTCACATTCAGCCAAACGTGTAGTAACACAGATTGGTAGAACAGAGTTTCAAGAGTGACTTCACAATACATCATCTCTTTTAATTTCTCTTAGTTATAGATAAAAGAAATAGTTTCAGAATCAATAAGTGACTTGCATAAGGGCACAGTAAGTAGTTCAGGATACCAACCCAGGCTTTTCGACTCCTAGCCTAGCGCGCCTTCTATTACACTTTATCTAGTTGAAAGAAAAATCAACTAAAAGAATAAGTAAACCAAACAAATCCACTGATTGCATATTAAAAGAAAGTTAAGCAATCCTTTAGATCCTACTTTTTTGTGTAATGAAGCATTAATCACTGAAATCAAACATTAAGAAACTAACAAATTATTAGGATAGAATTATAATGGTATACTTAGATAAAAATTACTAGTAGCACTAAAAAAATCTACTCATTCAGTAAATATTTATTGAGCACCTTCTACTTGCCTGTCATTAGGCTAGGTACCGGGGTGAAACAGTATCTAAATCAAACATTATATAGTCCAGACCTTCACAGAGCATATGGGGAATGAAAATTACACAAGCAATTTAAGTCAAGTGAACTAAGAGCCACGACAGAGGAAGTACAAGCTGCTCTGGGAGCAGACAGCTAGAGTCACTGCTCCAGTCAGTTACTATACTACATAGTAATTTACAGTAATTAGGACATGTTGGCTATTTCCTGGACACCTGGAGCCTTTGTTTAATAAAGTTGTTCATGAATACTGTATGATTTTCTTCCAGTTAACCTACCTACCTCTTGACCCCATCACAAATATAAAACCTACCAATAAGAAGCTTTCCTTATGAATTCCTACTCTGATCTTTTTTCTTCAGAAAGTTTTATAAAGTCATTAAAATATGAGGTATTAAGTCCTTATACTATTTCACTCATAACTGCTTGATCATAATACTCAAATCCCACTTAAAAACAGATATAAAAAATTTGAACTTCCATTATTAACAGTACCTGCAGTAAAAAGAACACATGTAACTTATTGATTTCTAAAACTAAATGTGCTGAAATCTACTTTTTCACCACCAGAGTGAAATAAAACATTACATCCTAATAGACTGGGTAACCACAAGATGATACAGGTGATCACACTGAGAGGGCATTGCAATTGCAGTACACAAGACAATGACAACATGCCTCATAAGGGACTGGAAATAGGACTCCAGATTCCTACATTTGCACTAATGACAATTTCATGTGCAAAGAGGTAAAAGAAATGCTTATCTTTCCTTTTCCATTATTCTGTAACAAAATAGTAAAAATTCATAATATTAGGAAATGTAAACATTTAAAATTATATAGACTAGAAAATCTTGCATTTCATTTTTAAAAAACATATCATGGAACTGGATCTGTGATTTTTAAGACCTAAAAACTCACTTCTAGAATGGCATTTAGGCCAGGCAGAAATCAAGAGCATAAAATATCAAAAATGTTCACATGACAGAAGATATGATCTGATCTGAGCCACAGAAAGAGAGGCCAAAGACAAGTAGTTTGGATTAAATCAAAGAGTTGACTTCATAAATTAAGAGAATCAAGACTGGGAATAAGTCTCCTAAAAACAGAGAAATTTCTCTGATGGAGGAAAAAAGTTAAGCCTTAATTGAACAACATTAATAAGTATATTGATCCTGATGTGGAAGATATCTCAGGAAATTAAATACACATTAAGAACAAAACTTGGGGGCCGGCCCTGTGGCTTGGTGGTTAAGTGCGCGCGCTGCGATGCTGGCGGCCCGGGTTCGGATCCCGGGTGCGCATCGAGGCACCACTTCTCTGTCCATCCTGAGGCCGACTCCCACATACAGCAACTAGAAGGGTGTGCAGCTGTGACATACAACTATCTACTGGGGCTTTGGGGGCAAAAAATAAATAAAATCTTTAAAAAAAAAAAAAGAACAAAACTTGGTTAGAATCAAATAAACCAGAAAATGTGATATAAAATTTATGGACTGTGTAACATTAAATACAACTAACAATTTACTCATATTTATATTTAGCCTCCAAAAATTCTTTGTGGAATTAGGATACAGGTAAAATTTAATATTTAGCAGTTAATGAAAATTGTTTAGTGAGTTAAATGGCAAATTAAAATTTAAGGCAAATTTTTCTAAATATATCTATATCTAATCCACACTTTAAAATTGTCTTATTAAAATAACGTATAAGAAGAGCTACATTTTAAATCTACGTGTATAGTGTGTACACAGCATACACACATCAGGTACCTAAACACAAAGAAATTACGCAACTATCTTCAAATTTTCCCCTGGTTTTAGCAATTTGTTCAACAATAGAACTTATCTCTTTCTTGCTGCTATTCTATAATGGAATATGCAACCTCAAAACATTTTTGGAAAGAGGTACATTACAAACAATTTAGTGAATTTTCTTATTAAAAAAAAAAAACTATCTTTTCCAAAACCAGCCCCAATTTGTCACAATATTGATACATGGCTAGATTAAACAAAGGAAATCTGTGAATATAGTTCTGGAATTTTAAAAAATACTTATATGAAAGGTGTGACTTAGAAAGGTTTACTAACTGACTAAGATTCCCATTGTAAATAACCACAAATGTCTAATAATTTACTTTTTACATCTTCTTAGTTATCAATATTAAGTAAATTTTATTTAACCAGAAGTCTGCCCAAAAATGACACTCATTAAATTAAGAGAAAGATTGAAATTATGGAGTAAATTCAATAGAACTTCTGAAAACATTTTATTTATATTTCATTTCAGTCAAAATACTCATTTTGCAAATCTATAAGGCCATGTGTCTCAAGTTCAAAATTTGTAATATGATTTGGAAAACTATTTTTAAAAAGTGATTGAAGAACATTTCAACACATGGTGATGAAATGCACAACTTTTAATGCTACACGAAACAGTTAAATACATATATATGATAACATGGAAAATTCTTTATTTAAAACACAGTTATTAAAATGGATAAAAGTGACACAGTAAAATAAAATTTTCTCAAAACTCACCACTTTAAAGAAAACATAAAATGACATGGATTACAATATATACAAAATAGGAAATAAATCATCATCTGTCATTAATGGGAAAATTTGCATGCTTTCAAAATATTCATAATTTTAAATCAGAAAAACATTGCTTAGGGGGAATGCTTCTTTTATATTTAAAGTCTCTTTAGAGGCGTTTTAAATTCCGCTTACTCTGGGCACTTCCTGGAAGAGCATCTTTTCTATTTCTTGGCTTTGCTGTTCCTCTACTACACTCTTCAGACCCATGGTAAGCACACAAACATAACACACAAAAGTCAAAGCCACAGGCAGTGCGGCTACACAGTCCCCTTTTCTTATATGGCTGGTACTTAGCAGGGGACTGGCACCTTGGGCAAGGTTTTAATGCTTCATCAATAAAAAGTGTTTTGGCAACCTGCAGTGAAAGCATACACACTAAATCTTCCAGTTTCATACAGAGAATTGCTTTATTTCAAACTCTGTAAATATTTATTCCTAATACCTTATGATACTCACCTTAATATATTCTTCCTGTTTACTACTTAAATGAGAAACAGAAGAGCTTGCTATAGGTGTCAAAACTTCTCCCCAAGGAGAAAACGTTGAAACTTGTTCTTTCTGAGAACCTGGTGTCCTAGCCTGAGCTTGTACAGATCTTAGAGCTGATCGATTTAAAAGACGGAGCCGAGTGGCAGCATCTTCAACATTTAATATAGGCCCCTGTGGTAAAAGACAAGAGGGGTCAATACTGGAATATCAAGAGCTCCAGGACAGCTTTCTGATGCACATGTATTTAAACGTTTGGAAGTGGTTTCATACCACTAGAATTTTCTCCCTAGACCATTCCTTTTTAGAAAAAATTTTTTTTCTCATCTAACATTTAAAAGTCAAGAAAATATAAAAAGAAAAAATTAAAACAATAATGCTAGGTTTAAGTTTACATGATTGGCTATTTGCATGGGTGGGCAAACTTTGCCTGAAAAGGGCCAGATGGTGTATATTTTACACTTTGCGGGCCAGGTAGTCAGTTATTCAACTGCCACTTTGGCAAAAGCAGCTGTAGAGATACATAAATAAAAGAGCAGGGCTGTGTTCCAATAACACTTACTTTAAAAACACAGGTGACAGACAGGATTTGGCCCATAGACTGGAGTTTGCCAACCCCTGTTTTAAGCCAAGGTCTAAGAAGCGGTGAATCTTTTTAAAGTTTGCTGTGGGATATCACGGAATTCTTTGAAGGTTTCTCACCTTAGCCACATGTCAGAAGAATAATGGGCCTGGTTAGACCATGAAACCCAATTTGTTTGGCTGGTTTTTGTAATACTTGTAAATATTTGATTCATTTTTACAGTTAAGTTTTAAACAGCTTTGGTATTTTCAAAGAAGAAAAAAAATCTCTTATCTGAACTGGATTTTCACATCACTCAAATAGTCAGCCAAGTATTATTTTCAACAATTAATCCTTATAGCTTTCTATTTTGTTATTTTGTTAAGGTTGCTAAAAGAAAAAAAATAGGAAAGTTGTGTTTTTTTTTTTTTTGGCATTTTTAACCAGTTATCAAAATAAAATGTACTGTGGGTGAATTTTCTCATGTGTCCAACTATGATGGTGTTTCTTCTTCCTTGATAGTCTCCCTTTGCCACAATTGGCTCCTAACAGTGGGGAGAGCTAAAACGTGAAAAATTACAGTAGGATAAGTATAGGAAATGAGGATAGCTGTTCACGAAAAATTATGTGATTAACAGTTTAACAACATATGCATAAGTCTAATGAATGAATATTGGTTTTCAGAAATTAGAATGAATACAGTTGAACTTTGTCAAGGACTCCATACATCTCTTTATATTACATTTGTATAAATGATTTGCAGCCTAGGCCATGCACATGACACAAGAGCATACTAAAATTTTGATGGATTTCAACACAGTTGGTAAGCACAGTGATTGTGCATGCACCAAAAAAATGAATAGGGATATGTTGAAGCAAATTTCAGCCACAGAAGAAACATTTATTCATTTAACAAATATTTATAGAACACCTAAAGGTGCCAAGTGAATAAAACAGTCTAATCCCTGTCCTCCCGGAGCTTAAAATGTGTGCTAATATCTCAACCATAGGAGGCAAAGCAGTCAACAAAGGCATATGTTTATGAATGCCAAAATTTTTCAAAACATAGTCATCATCATGTTACCAGAAAAGAGTAAAGTCACCTTATGGTTGTTCATTTCCATGCTTATAACAAAACAGTGAAGAATACAGTAAATTAAGAAATTCAATGGAAAAGATGTGGTATCCCAATTCTAATGCTCATTCTCACTGCTGCAAAGCAAACAGAAAAAATTGAGATCCTATTATATGTAGCTGGTCTGTGCCTTCTAATTTTCACACATAAGGAGCTTTCAGTGACGCTATACAAGTGTGAGGAAAACTGTCAAACAACTTAGTTTTATGACTTTTCTGTTTTGATTAACGATATACATTAGGACAGGTCAGGTAGAAAGCAACCAGTCCATATCAGAATAGGAGGGCAAAAGGCACCAGGAGGGACGTCTCTGAGGAGAAGAAGGAACAGGTAGAATACCTGATTTGTTTGACTTACACAGAGGAGATTTCCAGTTCTGGTGGATAATAGGAGATGAATCAGGGATCTGTATAGAGAAACACTAAGCAAAGAAAGAAAGAAACTGGGCAATTATTAACTCTGGAAAAAAAAAGTTATATGAGAAAAAAGGTGTAATCATAGTGTACTACACATTACAGCTGTCAAAAGTCATAATAATCTCAGTTCAGTCTTAATAATGTCGGCACTTAATTCTGATTCACTCCCCAATGATGGTGATAGGAGAAAGAGCGAGAGGGATTCAGAGAGACAGGTGGGTAGATAGGTAGTGGTAGCAGGGGTGAGAGGTTAGAAAACACACTTAATCTCTCTATTGAAAAAAAACCAAAGAAATAGCAGTAAAGGTATGCTCCTTAGAAATGCAGAGGCAAATATCAGAAGGAACAACTAAAGAGTTGAAAGTGATTGCCTTGATGGGGCAAGAATCCAGAGTAGGAAGGGACAGGGCAGGAGAATATGTATTTTGTCATAAGCTTTATTGTCCAATTTGACTTTTTCAGCCATGTACTTGTTTTACTTTGAAAAAAAATTTAAAAAGCAAATCAAAATAGGAAAAAAAGTCCAAGTAAGGAAAACAGGATAGTCCTTTAAGAAACCAAGTTAAAAAAAACTGGTGGCCAGGATATGAAGATAGAATATTTTATCTAGAATTACCTGAAATGTCACCAAAAACAACCACATTTTCTTCCTTATAGGATGTAAGGAGTACATGGAGGTAAAAGCTTAATATTAACAGGTGCTTGCTTAAAAAATTAAGTCCTTAGCATGTAGGGAAGCACTCTAAAAAGAAATGCTAAGAAGGCAATTAATATCTTCACTATTAGAAACTCCCAGAGCCAGCAGCTGCAGAAGTAGCCAGGAGCTGTGACTAAGTCATAAGGCAACATCATAGGTGAGAAGGTAAAACTTTTCTTAAAAGTAAAGTAGAAAGTCAACGTTTTAGTTAACAGCAATCTCTAATATTTCGTTGTAATGAGAAGCCTGCCAATCTGTATCTAGGTGTTCATATTTGTTTATGCCATGCTTTACATCAATTACTATATTTAGTCAAATTAGAAATTTACTTATAAGATGTTATTAAATACTTTTTACTAGAACAAGAATAAGGGAGTAAACTCTCAGAGTTTCTTTTGGTAATGATGCCTAAGAAAGGTCTAAAAGTGGAATATACAATAAATATGGGTGCCGGAGTCAGCAGATGCCTATTATATAAAGTAGCATTCCTAGGAAGAATTAATCAGCTTCTGTAGGACTTTTCTTGTAACTTCAAAGCTGGACCTCAGATCTTTAAGGGAATACAAGTTAATGATGCTTTACTAGCACTAATCTGCTATGCTTACTAACCTCCAGGCCTTCATGTATGCTATTCCCTCTGCTGAAACACTTTTCCCTATCTTCACCTGGCTAACTGCTAACTCATGATTCAGCTCTCAGCTAAGATGCACTTTTTCTGAGAAACCTTCTCTTGATTCCCAAGTATCAAACATGCCTCTTAAATGTTCCAATAGAACTAACTCTGGGCTTCTCCTAACACACTTGTATTGTAACCACTTGTTTATCCATATCACCCACAAGGTACAAGCTCCAACAGAGCAGGGACCATGTCAGAAGTGTTCATCATCATAATCTGAGCAACTGGCAGTAATATCTACTCAAAAGACTGGATAGAAAGTGCTATAAGGATATCTAATTATGAATGGGGTCCAGTATATCATTGGTATTCAAATACTGCTAACAGCACATACACTTAAACAACAACAAAACTCAACAAGTTGTTCTTGATGCTAGGTAGTCTACTCCACTTATGGACTGGATGGAAATGGACTTTGGGAAAAGTAAAGAATTTATGAGTGAATGTTTACTAAATGGAAAAGGTTAAAAGATAGCAGGAAAACCAAATTAGGCTGTCTAGCAATATGGGATTATCAGATATTTATACAAATCCATTTTAGAAAAATATTATATACATTACCTCAGAATATGTTTTCAGTTTTGTGATATAAATTTTCCTCCTCCGATTTGCTTTTTTATCTTGAACAACAATTTCACGCCAATTTCTGCTCACTTTCCAAACACTACAACAAAAAGATCAGTCCTCATATTGTACATATTCCACAGGATTAACATTTTTTGCATACGGCAATTAATAAGAAAAACTGGTTTTAAAGATTTTGGACAGTAAATTTAAACCTAAAAATTTACATTAAAAACATGACTTGAGGGGCTGGCACCGTCGTGTAGTCATTAAATTTGGTGCCTTCTGCTTCAGCAGCCGGGTTCACAGGTGTGGATCCCGGGTGCAGACCTACACCACTTGTCAGCCACGCTGTGGTGGCAACCATATATAAAGTAGAGGAAGATTGGCAACAGATGTTAGGTTAGGGCTAATCTTCCTCAGCAAAAAAAAAAAAAAAAAAGACTTAATCTACATCATTGTTTCACCATATGAAAGAATTCCTATTAAAATATTAAATATATGCCAGCATTATATTGATAGATTATCATCTCATAAATGGTTAAGGGAAAAACACAGTTTCATATAGAGCCGATATGAGTCCACAGGGAGACTGATTATGAGGATTTAACTTCAAATGTGACACTAATATTAAAAATTTGGAACACAACATGCAACAAATGATTATCATCTATAGCACAAGAGGTTGTTTTTTTTTTTTTTACCAATTTATCCTATTAATGTATTTAACATATCTATCATTTTGATTAAACAAACACAAGAATAATCAATCCTTCATTGGATGTACTAAGGGCTAAATAATAAATATTATTATGAGTAGCACTAAAAAGTTCCCGTTTTATAAACCAAAGTTTATGAGAATGAAGCAGCTAAAGAAAAAACACAATTTATGTCCAGTGATTGCTTATTTATCAATAACTTTGACTATACTAATTGTTAAAGAAAAGGTATTTCTTCAACTGTTAATCTGGTCTTTTTTATTACTCTAACATCACAAATCATCAAAGTGAATAAGATCAGACAGCTGGAAGAAAAAGTTACTTGTTGTGTCGGGCCCCAAGTAATACTTGAGCTGTCAGCACTACTATTCTTCCAGCTACCATGGCCCGCCTCAGTTGCCCTTGCCTCTCCCTAAACTGATACATGTGCCTTATATCAGATTGATGGGGAGGAATAGGCAGAAAATCACCTATTGATGGAGAAGAAATGAACCATATAACTGGGTATTTGCTACAGCTATTTCAACTGACCATAATCTCACATTACCAACAATAAATACTGCTAACGTTATACATGCATTCTGTAGTACAAATACTATAAATTTGGAGGGCTGAGCAGGAGAGGTAAGTATTGAAATATGACTGAATATCAACTGCTTCCACAAGTGAGCACCCAAAAGTATCACCCAATTTCTTATTTTGGCTGGTCTGTATCCAACTACTCCAGCATATAAAAATAAAATTCCTATATCTCAGCCATATCTTCAATTTTTAAACAAATAATTTATCTCATTTGAACTTTTTTGTGTTTGTGAGGAAGATTGTCCCTGAGCTAACATCTGTGCCGATTTCCCTCTATTTTGTCTGTGGGACACCTCCACAGCACGGCTTGATGAGCAGTGTGTAGGTCTGCATGCGGGATCCCAGCCGCAAACCTGGGGCCCCCCTGAAGCAGAGCACGAGAACTTAACCACTATGCCACCGGGCCGGCCCCCTCAATTGAACATTTTTTAAAGGCACACACATATAGGTGCACTAATCTGTTTATTATCCTATTTGGGTTCCACCCAATCAAGTCTATCCAGAAAGCCCTTAAACCTTAGTAAGAGTTTTTAGGAAAAACTGGATTAGAAATCAGAGAGCTCAGTTATAGACCTAGATATATTCCTGTCTCCTTGAGTGACTGTTGGCGGGTCTCTTCATTTCTCTGGAGTTCAGTTTTCTCATCTGCAAAATATGTGATTGGGCTAGATATCTCAGAAGACTTCCAGCTACGAAATTCTACAATTCTCTACAATAGCGCACAACTAATTTATGGGAGAAAGGTGAAGAGGGGCTTTAATAGAAGTAGTGGCCATAAAAACAGCAAAGACTCTATGAACCAAACTCTTGACATATCCCTATTGAAAAAGAGGTTCACTCTCTCTCCTGCATGTACTCCTCTAACCATCACCTTGCAGAAATCCTGTTCCACACGGCTTCCCTCCTTCCTGGTCATGGCATTCCCAAGGGTCTTGTCTTCTGGGAGTCCTGCAACTCCCCAAAATTGCCAGTATGAACACAGTCTCACTTTAGTCTTTGTAGCCCTAGTTCCCACCCTCAATACTCCTAAATGTCTGACTTAGTTTCTCTTTAATTATGTAACAGCATTCAATATACTGAAATCTCTGTGAACACAAATTCTTCCGTTTCTAATTCCTTGAAGTTCTCCAAAGTAATTAACTTCCACTGCTGTGTTAGCAATGAAATAATCCTCGTCTCCCTTGGTCTCTGAAAAGACCAAACTCTAAAATGAAAGCTAACCATTGTTCTTGGATTCTATCCTTCATATGCTGTCATTTCTTAGTCTCCATAATGCTTTTCATTATTTCTGACCAAGTGTCATAACTTTAGTACAATTTGCAATCTGACAACAGGATGTGAACTATTAAATCATTTAATAACTTTCATGGAAGTTTGCCATCTTGAAAATTTAAAGTTCAACTTCCAGAAACTCTCTTCCCAAAGGACAGTGAAATGAACTTTATCCAGAAGATTATACTGTTGCTTCTAAAGCAGGCTTTTAAATAGAAGGGACTATACTAGTAAGCTCTACCAAGTAGTTCACTAAACCACCTTTGATAAAGTGTAGGACAACCAAAGACAGAGATAATAAAACAAATAAACAAAAAACAGGACGACTACCCCACTGATAGAAAAGCTTTTCAACTAAAAAAAAGTGATAAAAGGCAGTTTTATTTCAGAAAAAAATTTTATTTCTTACCTGCAAAGGCTTTCTGTAGTCAAGGAATCTAAAACCATAGCAAGAATATGCTTTAAATTTCTATATTTTAATTCTGTTAAGATGTCCAGTTTTTCTATACCCATTTTCTTGCCAATTAGTCCTGCAAGTACACACTGTAGTACAGCAATTTTCCCCTCATCTCTTTCTTCTAGGAATTCATGTGCGCCATTTTGCTGGAATCGTTTCCTTTTGCTTTTCATAAAGAGCTCATGCACTAATTGCAAGGCTGGGGTCTTTGATAAATTCTTAAAGCTTAAAATCAAATCCCCACTCTTATTGTCACTGCTTGGCTGGCTCCCTGAGATGTCTGAAGCAGCTGCTGGTGTTGCTTCAGAGTCAGAATGGATGATCTCCTTCTCCTCTTCTGTCTCAGATTGTGAGCCTTGCTCCCGAAGGGTAGACAGTCTTCTCAACCTTCCAAGACGCCTTGACTTTTTTATGGTGTCCCTCACTTTGAGAGTTCCCTTATGTAGTTCTTGAAAAGAACTCTCCTTGTCAGAGAGCGAATCTTCTGATTTATCCAAGCAAAGTGAATTAAAACCACTGTCTTCAGGTGTTGAAATATTGCCTCTCACTTCAGTTGAAGGAGAAAGCCATTGCCTTGCATTAAATTTAATGTTAGCTACAAGATTACTTACTGGAGTCACAAATATGTCCTCATCTGTTCCACAAGTTGTTCCACTAACAGAGGAGCCCAGAAGTTCGGGATATGTATTCTCATCGTTAAACCATAGACTGCTATCACTAAAGTCACGTGTGATAGAGTCTTTAAAATCATTGCCCTGAATTGGAGATATACATTCAACTTCAAATAGGCTACAAGCATCTTTGGAATCATCAACTGTGGAAGTCTTCTGTTGAGAAAAATTTAGTCTCAATTTTTGACTGCTGGAAGTTGCTGCTTCTGTTTTCAAAGCGCTAGTAACTAAAGGACTAAAATTATTTTGCCCTGGAAAACCCAAAGCACTGCTTGGAATATTTTTTCCTAAGTTGAGAACTTGGCTTGAACTACTTTCTAGAGAACTATTTTGTGATTCAAAGTGCCCCTTTAGAAGAGAGAAAGATATGTCCAGCCTTCTGCGCAGTAAAAATTTTTTCCCACTGACTTTAGGAGTTTCACAAAGTTCTGGGGTTTTATTCTTTTCCTTCCTAGGGAAGACAAATCTCTTTTTCTGAGTGGGAGACTCTAAAGGATGTGTTAAGCCCAGATTTGAAGTTTCTGGATGTTCATAGTTTAATGTTGGGCCTTTTTCTGTCTTTCCAAAAAATTCTTTATCTGTATTATCAAAGCTGCAAGATTTTAACAACTCTTTGTAGCCACTATCTTGAAATGAAGATGTGGAACAAAAATCTCTGAAGCTGGAGTACTTGAAATCGACAGTAGGAGAGTCCACCTCATTTCCTGCTCCAGTGCGTGCTTGACCTGAATGACTTTCTGACATCTTCAAAATCTCTGTTTCTACAAAGTGAAAACAAATTTCATTCTTCCTTTGAAACGAGCAGCCTAACAGCCTACAGCAAAATACATTATTTGTTATGAGTACAGATAATAATAGAAAATTTTATGGCAATAAAAAAAGTTACTTTAAAAAATAAATCTATTCTACAATATACTTATGTGTATCTTACTTAAAACAACTTTTTGACATCATAAAAAACAAAACTTTCAGGTTATAAATATTCACAGATTATTTGACTAAGCAGAGTCTAAGCACCGTGCACAAACATTTTCTTGAACTACACTTGAGGAGAAAAAAAATCTGGAAGCATCATCTTTAGATGATGTTATTACCTAATGATTTTAACAGCACTAAAGTACATAACTGTAGTTTTAATATTCTAGCTTATTTGTGCTGGCCTAGACCTAGTTAGTTGGATATTTCCTTTCAAAGTTCTGGGATGTAAATAAAGCTGCTTAAAAAAACTATATGCTAATTTTCAAACATATCTTTGGGAAATGTGTCAAATGAGTGCTGCCACTAGATTTCACTGCAATTTGGCTAAGCAACTCCAGGATAATTATTCATACTTGTAACATAGACCCGTCTCAGAAATCCAGTCCCCACGACCATTCACAAAGTCTGAATTCCCAGACTTATACATTTGCAAAGACTCTTTGGCTCACTGACAAATTACTAACACATTCTTCATGCACTAACCAAAATGAACCATTGCCCCATAGATATAAGGCCATTTCAAACCTGGCATGTTACCCTCATTCATGTCTCATCTTCTAAATATTTTGAGACATAAGGTCCAGTTGCAGGCATGAATTCACAGGTAACAGGCAACTATTTGTGGGAAACCCACCCTTTATAATATTCTTGAAGTTGAAAATAAAGAATTAAAGTAAATTACTTAAAGAAGAAATGTGACTCAGTAATTATATTTGTAAGGAATGACACTAGAAAATACTTTACTCTTTAGCCTTTTCAACAGTATCATCACATTCCTTCTTTCTAGAACCTCAATTTAAATAACTCAAAGGAAGCTAAGATAAGAAAGTTATCATAGTTTCTGATATTTCTCCAGATTACTCAAAGGACACTAAGAAAATTGTCATTCTTTCAAAGTTATCTCCAGACCAAATACACAATTTTTCTCTATTAAAAGACCCTGGGAAGATATAGTTTAGTGACTATAATAGGAAAGTAATTTATGCCTAAGTTACATCCTTTAAATATATGAGTGAATGAGTTTTTTAAAAAAACCAAATTGCTACTCTAACCACAAAACGAAATAGTTTCTTTACAGTATAATGATCATTAGAAGATCATTATTACTGGGCCAAGTATCTAAGTGTTTTTCAATCTTTTAAACCTATACCCCTTTTTGGTAAATCTCCCACATGTACCCTTCTGATCTACATCCCCTCAGACGGTGAGAATCACTGCTATATCTTCTGTACATGCTTACCGGCCAAGATCATCAAACTTTGCTTTCTGTAATTTGTATTATATTTTTAAAAAATTTTTGTTTTCAAAATATTAAGTTAATAAGATAGAATATGTCTTCAAATTACACCTCCTCCCACGAATGTTTCTCCCTCTATGAGAATCATTCTATTAAGTAACAGTTTTCACTCATGTTATTTGGTAAAATTAGGTCGTGTCCTTTTAAAAAGTTAAAACAAACATAACTATTCTGCTACTTCTCCACTAGGTGTCTCATCATGCTAGAATTTGGGAAACAGAGGTAAATAGAAACAGGGCTGGGATGCAGATATCATCCTCTCCCCCTCCCAAAAAACCATAGACCACTTGTTACAAACATAAAAACTTTCTAGTACTTTTTCCTGTTCATCTACACATTTGAAGTTGTCTCCAACGTGCTTTCTCTGTTGTCATCATGTTCATCTTTCTACTACTCCAAGATGTCAGTCTCAAACAAAACTTAGCTCTTCAAAACTTAATTTTTTAATTATTTAAAATTATTCATGCAAAATTATGGAATGCCCGCTGACATTTAATTTTACCGATTCACCAGTTCACCGATTAATCAAACAACCTCCTCAATATTAATTTTTGTTTTAACCAGGCTCCTGATAAAAGAGTTGAGAACACTTATCGCCACAGTGCTCTTAAAAAAAAAGCGCTTGTCAAATCAGAGAATGAAACTCATTTAACTATATTAAAACGAAATTTCCTTCAGTTGTTAAAGTGGAAAATCTTACCATCAGTAAATCTTGAGCTCTTAGATGTCAAAGTTATGTAGGCTTCCAAACAAGAAAATCTCTCACTTTGCCTTTAAAATTCATGCCAAAGTAATGCTACTCAAAGAGAAAACTAGTTTGAACGATTAATTGAAACGTGCCGTAGCACGATGACCGCTCAAGTTTGAAGGGTACCAAAAGGACACGCTGCAGGGGTTACTTCTAACACTTGAAAAGGCCTAAATCACTTTGAATTTCCTTCACCTTCCAGACAACAGTAATTTTAATATCTGTTTTCTCCAGCCAGTCTTGGAACTGAGGCAACTCCCCGATTCGGAGACGACGCAGTGGCAGCCGCAGCGCTGTCAGGCCGGCCCGAGGCGCTGTGGGCAACGGTCTCACCAGGGCGTCAACTAGCCCGCTCGGCCCTCCCGGACCCTCCCCGGGCCAGGCTGGCGGGGGAGGCTCGCTCGGCTCGGCCGCCGCGGTCCGGGGCCCAGAGAAACACCGACAGGCCGAGGGCGGCCGGGCGGCCCCTGGAGCGGAGCGAGCGGAGAAGCGAACGGCTTCGGGCGCCTCTCTAGTCCCAGCACCTGGAAAACAAAGTGGGCGCGGGGCCGGGGACGCCCAGAGGCCCGCCAGCCAGCACACACCTGGGGTGCCCCGCTCCCGTCCACCTGGAGCCCGAGGCGCGGCCGCGGGGCGGGGAGGGGAGAGGGGCAGCGGCGGCGGGCTGCGCCGGGGAGGAGCCACAGCCTCGCCCCCAGGGATGCCCGGCTATGGCAACCCCCACGCCGCGCTCGCGTGCGGCCGCCGCGTTTCCCTCCTTCGGTTTGAACTGCCCGCCCTGAGTAACCGCTACGCGCCGCCCCGCCCCGCGCCGCCCCTTCCTCCGGCTCCGCTGCGCCCCCGCCGGCCGCCCCGCGACCTGCAGGTCCCCGGCCCTCGCCTGCGCCGGAGGAGGTCTCGTCCTCTCCTTCTCGCCCTTCCAGCCCTCCGCAAGCACAGCGAGGACCTCCTAATTTGATAGGCTTTTCCTCTCCCCATTCTCACTGTGAGGAGGATTATAGAGAAAGGCTGATAAGTCCTACAGTGGGATGCCATTAAAATAATCAAAAATAATGTAGAAGATTCACTTGAAAATGTTTCCTGAGATAATCAAGTGTAAAAAGCAGGTTACAAACCGAATGACTCCTTTTAGAAGTATCGATATACACAGGAGAAGGTCTGAAAGGTATGACTAACTCGGTTACAGAATCTTTAGATGTGATTGTGCTTCTTTTTTAAGCATCTAAAAACGGATATTTTATTTACTGGGCACCTATTATATGCCAGTCTCCATCCTTCTGCTCTTGGCAGCTTCTTTCTGCATCTCCTTTTTCTGGCTTCTTTTCGTCTGTCTATTCCCTAAATGAGCTGTCCTACCTCAGCATTTTTCTTACTTTACCGGTCTGTGCTTACATAATTCTCATTCAGAGGTTCAACCATTACTTTTAAGCCAGTAACAGGTGCCACCAACACTCTTCTCCATCTGGATGCCCTTTAGTCATCCTAAATGCCATATATCCAAAGTCAAACTCACTAACAATGATTAAGCCTCACCTATGTGCCAATTATTGGGCTAGGTCCAGGGAATACAAAGATGAGTGAGGCACAGTTACTGTCCTTAAGGGGCTGACAGCTGTAAGTGCTGTAACAGAGGAACGGTAGTAGCACAAAAGAAAGACCGATGGACTAACCCTATCGGAGAAGAAAGGGCAGAGCTAACTTCATCAAGACCATGATGTGAGATGGATTTTGAAGGACAAGTGGCAATTTAAAAGGCAGATAGGTGATTCCAAACTCCAAACATAATGTGCAAGAGCAGGAAAATTGAAACAGTTGGGCACATCAGAGAAACTGTAAATAATTGATTATAGCTGGAAACTAAGACTTGTTTGAGGAAAAAGAAAAGAAAATTCTTGAGAAGGGAAAGAAGTCAAGTCATGGAGAGTTTTGGATGCACGTTAAGAGTCTGACATTTATCCTCTAGGCAATGCAGAGCATTTGAGAAAGACCACTCTGGCGGCAGAATGGAGGACAGAGGAAGAGAGGTGAGGGTGGCTGTCAGGAGACCAGTTAGGAAGTTACTGCATTACTCTGGAAGATAGTAGGGGTGGGGAAGAACCTGGACTCGACATATTCAGTTGACAAAATCAACTGCATGGGGCAGAGGGTAAGAGAATGAAGAGTACAAGTTTGGGAGAAAATAAGATGAATTTAGTATGAGGTTGTTAAGTTTGAGGAAACTGTAGGATTTAAGGTAAGGAATTGGTGAATCACACATTCCCCAAGACTGCACCTCTTGGAAGCCTCCTCCATACACTCAGTAGAGTGAGTAGTGCCCTCTCTAATTCTTCAAACAAATCTCTATTACAGCCATTTTGCCCTTCCCTGCCTAGTATTTGTAAATCCTCCTTCTCTGCTGAATTGTGTCGTGTAGCTTATCGCCTTCTAAAATACCATATTATTTACTTATTTTGTTTAATGTCCTCTCCCCACTCCCACCATAATGTAAACAGGGCAGGGAATTTTGCCTATGGTTAAATAAAATCCACACAACCCCAAACACCATTTAAACACTGTCCTTTTCTGTTTCTCCAGCTATTTTATTTTTCTTTAGATATTTTATGACTGAAGAGTAAAAGAGCATATTATAACTCCCTTCCATCATTCAAAGAAGAATAATTTTTATACTCCCCCAAAAAGGGCAAAAAAGACACCTAGTTACATGTAGCTTGTCCTAGCTTAACTCATATACCCCAAATTTAAGCCACTGAGCTATATTTTCCTCTTCTTTACCCACCACAGTCTTTGGCCTTTTTGCTTCCCTTCTGAATTGGGTGCCATCCCATTACTGACCTCAGAATTCTAAAATCCATCTGTTTTCCACAAGATCTAATGCTTCTTTTTGGGAACATCCAGTAAAACATAATGGAAGACTTTTCCAGTCACCAAGACATTCGAGCTATGCAAGTATACTTTAATGAATATGATCAAGGAAAAAGGAAAACAAAGATTCAGGGGAAAAATAGCAACTTGCATCTCTATGACCATATAATAAGGAGTTAAAAGCACTAGTATCTAAGATGGCAAGACAAATACTCTCATTAGGAGAGGGCAATGCAATAATGTCTGGTACATAGTAAGTGCTCAAGAAAAGTTAGTTGTTACCATTGATAATAGCTTCCACTGACCATGCTCCACAGTGATCCTAAAATTACTGGTTCCTGCTGATAGGAAAGAGGGAGCTGGATTGGGAACTGGCATCAACATGAACTCTTGTTGAAATTCTGGATCTCTTTGCTACCACTTCGCATTACCCTACCCCTCTGTAGTGTCCCAGCACCCATTTGTATTCTACATGTGTTGATCCACTCTGATCTTCATAGACTGTGTTATGTGCCAGAATCATCTTTTTTTGTGTGTGTGAGGAAGATCAGCCCTGAGCTAACATCCGTGCCAATCCTCCTCTTTTTGCTGAGGAAGACCGGCTCCCAGCCAACATCTATTGCCAATCCTCCTCCTGTATTCCCCCCAAAGCCCCAGTAAACAGTTGTATGTCATAGTTGCACATCCTTCCAGTTGCTGCATGTGGGAAGCAGCCTCAGCATGGCTGGAGAAGTGGTGCGTCGGTGCGCGCCAGGGATCCAAACCAGGCTGCCAGTAGCGGAGCGCGCGCACCCAACCACCAAGCCAGGGGGCCGGCCCTGCCAGAATCATCTTGATACCCTAACTGGGAAGTCAGAATCCAGGACAGCTTCCAATGATTAAAGTTACACTTTCTGGATCACTCCATCATCTTTCTCTCATGATAACAATGGTTTTATCTAACACTGCTTGTAGGGAAGCTTATTTTGACTCTTCTATTGGATTACCTCTTTTCTTTGGTTGAGAGGAGAAGTACGTTGTGAGAGAGCTGATGGTCCAAATATTTATGCTCTATATTAGCCTGTCTGTGGAGGAAGAAGCAGGAAATTCCGGTGTGTTTCCCTGGAAATTTAAAAAATTGGCAGCTAGGAAGACTGGGAATATCAAGTTAAATCTCACAAGTTGGTCTGTGGAGGTGCAACCAGCTGGAACTCCTTCTGAAAGTGACAGGTTAAGCTCAAAGTTCTCAAGTTGCTGGATGCAAGATGGGAAAGCAGTATAGCCTGCTTAGTGAGAAAGCAAAGATGTAGTGCATGTTGGGGAGAAAGAAATCTGCTTCTCCGATTAACTATAATAGTTATTAACGACTGGTTATTTTCTAAATTTTAATAACTTCATTTTCTTCTCCCTCCTTCTGTTGTAAGTAAACTACTACTGTGAAAGAAGCAAATGAATGTAAATGTTGTAAAACCAACTGACATTAATCTCACTGAAATTTTGATCTTTGAAAGAACCCAACCTTACATGGCAGGTCGCTTTGTTGTTCTGGAGGACAATACATGTGACGGAAGGAGCGTCAGTGGATAGCCACCGCTACCAAAATCCCTCAGCTGTAGGTGGGAGTAATTGACGCAGCTGCCCTCACGCCCGCCTTTGCTTTAAAATGAGTGAAAGGAGTGGGTGAGAGGGATGACAGGAGCCTAGGACAGAAAGGGTCGAAAAGCAAAAACGAAATTATGCGAAGGATAGGAGGCGTCTGCTCCACCGCCCCAGCACAGATATCAAACCGTTCGAAAAACATAATCTGAAAAGTGTTTTTCCGCGTGAAAAATCAGCAGTGAAGTCGATTCTCCCACGTTCCTCGGAATAATGGTTAGCCTAGGATTCCACGGGCACTTGTCATTTTGGTTTCTCTTCTAACCCCCTGCCCTTCTGGAAAAGTGTTACTTTCTACAGACTACATTAGTCAGGAAAACGAACTTCCTTTGACTTGAGGAACTGTTAAAATGCTTTGACGTGCTGAAAAATGAAAATAGCTGTGACGCTAACACGCACGCTAAGCCTAATATGCAAAACGCCCGGCTTGACCGCCTGTATTCAATCCGGGTTCTTCGGCTACGCCCAGGGCGGAAGGGGCGGAGACTCCACTCCGCGTCATACACCAACGCCGGAAGTTGGCTGAGACGGAGCGACGAGCCGGAATCTGTGTGGAACCGTAGGGTGAGAACGTTCTCCTTGCTAGGTGGGTAGGGAATTGGCGGGTTGGGCTTTTGGGCCAAAACTGGCAAGATACTCGGGTTAAACAGGTCTGGTGTGGATTTAGAGTTGGGAGAGGCTGGGGATAGAGTCAATGCTTTAGTCCTTTGCCTGGTTTCTTTCAGTTGAGCTGTTTGGCTATTGGGGGTTGTTTCATTATCCTTCCCTTATCTTCGGTTCGCTTGTTCCCCTGTTGAGGGGTATTATTTTTGTGGCCATCTCCTGCTAAAGTCGATCTGAATCTTTCTGCCTCTTAATAGCTGAATAATCCTGTGCAAATTAACTTTTCTAAGCCTCGGTTTCTTCATCTGTAAAAGAAGAGTAATACCTCCTAGGAGTGTTGTAAAGATTGTAGTGAAATGACGTATAAATGAAATAACACATATAATGTATTTACTTTTGTGTCCAGTTTGGGGGTAATTGCGCAATATGTTGTTTTTTTGTTTCGTGCTTTACACCTCATAGGGTTTGAAAAAGTACAGATTAGGAATTGGGACGTTTTTAGCTTTCTGAGAAAAATGAGGGCTGGTTGGATTTGTGAAGAGCCCCTTTGAGATATTCAGTATTTGAGTCTGTGATTTCAGGGACTAACAATGGACACCCAGAAGGACGTTCAACCCCCAAAGCAGCAGCCAATGATATATATCTGTGGAGGTAAGAGTAGCACTTACATAAAGTAAGGGTATTTTACTTCAGTTTTTTGAAATTTCTACTTTTATCTTTGGCTTAAATGCGTCGCTCAAGTTTAAAGTTATAAAGCAGAATACTTTAGCAACCGTAAAATAATCCTCTCATTAAGATTTCTGTCCTGAAAAAGTGCATTGCCCACAACTCTTTTTTTTCTTTCCCCCTTAATATATTGGTGATAGCAACATTCCCTTGAGATGGAGTATATTTTAGTGTTCTGGGTGAAAAATATGGTTAAGATAATTTGTCTGTAATATTTCCCTTTAGACATTGAATAAATGTGTTTTCTTTTCTAGAATGTCACACAGAAAATGAAATAAAATCCAGAGATCCAATCAGATGCAGAGAATGTGGATACAGAATAATGTATAAGAAAAGGACTAAAAGATGTATCCTTTTAACTATGCTTTCTAAATATGAGGTGGGAGGAAGTGAAGAGTAATGCTTGGGTTGCGAGTCAAAGACTAATTTCTGGTAAAATGGTAATAACTTTTGGATTACTTACCAAAAAAGGCATGATTAGCATTTTCATGGACCAGTATGCCAATGTATAGGCATATACTAAATAATCTAAATACTAGTTGATTTTGGTTCTCTTAAGTCTGTTTTTCAGGGATTCTCTATTTCACAAAGTACTCATTCTTGAGCTTGAGTTTATGAACAAACTAAATTATACAAGGAGAAATCACAATATTGTGTATGTATGCTACCTGATGGAAAAAGTGAAGCTTACAAATTAGCTGAAAGAGAGTAAATTGTTATGTGGTAACTAACAATGTTTTTTAAATCAATAAGTTATCACCTTTAACGTTGCTTCAGTGTTTTTTGGTGCTTTGGTCTTTTGCACTTTGGAAAGGGGACTAATAAAAATAGAAATAGTTTTTTTAGTTCATTTCCACTTGTCATAGTAAATAGTGAATTCCATTTTTTTGTGCATTTTAGATTAAATAACAAACAAGCTTATTGCAAAGAGAAAGTGACTTGGAAGTGTTAGATCAATTTTTAAATACTTTTTTTGTCCTTAACTCAGTTTAATACAGTGGTGGTTTTTGATGCTCGATGAGACATGGCAATCAGAAGAATATCTTCGTTTGTGTTTGGATTTGCTGTTAATGTTGTTGTATAGCTTTTGATTAGTATACTTTTCTTTATGAAGACAACTGTGTACACATGATTTCATTTTAAAACCATATTGTATTTAGTATCTATTAATAGTTTATATAAATAAATTACTTCTGTTCGATTACATGATTTACAATTTAATTTTATTGTGTATGTAATCTGACGCACAATGGAGGTTAAAAGTGCTTCCCCTAATTGCACTCTCAGTCAAAACTTAGAATCATCTGGGGCCCTTGTTAAAAATGAAGTTTTCTACAGCCCTCTAAAGGTGTGATTAAGTTCGTTCCTTGGAAACCACTGTTTTACATCACCAACTGTTTGTTAACCTTCTTGCATCATTTTGTTTTAGAGTGTATCAATGCACTTACTGTCAGTGTGCATACCTCATTTTGAGTTATATTTTTCATTTGTTACTTGGCATAGACCTTTCTGTATTTGTATATAATGCTTGACTTTTTTTTTTTTTTTTTTTTTGAGGAAGATTGACCCTGAGCTAACATCTGAGACCAATCTTCCTCTTTTTTTCACCCCAAAGCCCAAGTACATAGTTGTATCCTAGTTGTAGGTCCTTCTGGTTTTTCTGTGTGGAACGCCGCCTCAGCATGGCTTGATGAGTGGTGAGTAGGTCCGTGCCCAGGATCCGAACTGGCGAACCCTGGGCTGCCGAAGTGGGACGTGAAAACTTAACTGCTACATCACCGGGCCGGCCCCATGCTTGACTATTTTTTAAATCTTGGGTGAGGGAAAAGAAGTTTTAATGGTTGCTCTCTGTAAGGCAAAATCAACCCCAAGTAAAGTGGATGAAGCAGTCTGTTAAGGCAGGTGCAGTTCCCACATGTAATCATTCATTAAGGTAAAAAATTCTGGGGTCGGCCCAGTGGCATAGTGATTAAGTTTGTGCACTCCGCTTCAGCGGCCTGGGGTTCACGGGTTGGGATCCCGGGCACAGACCTACACACCACTCATTAAGCCATGTTGTGGCGGCATCCCATGTACAAAAATAGAGGAAGATTGGGACAGATGTTAGCTCAGGGACAATCTTCCTCAAGCAAAAAGAGGAAGATTGGCAATAGATGTTAGCTCAGGGCCAATCTTCCTTAGCAAAATAAAAAAATTCTGCTTTCAGGATATAAAAAGAATAGGGATTGGTTTACACTGAATTATTGAATAAATGTTTAAAACTTTTGCCTTGATCTTAGGGATGTGGATACTCATACTCCGTCTGTTCCAGGTTTCCATCATTATGGAATGTTACGTTGGCCTCCCTAACATTCATTTTGAAGATTAGATATACTACCACTTTATTAATAGCTGTGTGTGTATGTGTGTCTCTGACATTCAAAAAATTAACTATGCCATTTTAAAAAAACACCTGTATTTCTACTACCATCCTTGAATACTAAGTTTTATAAATTTATTACGTGCTCTACAGAATACTGCCATGCTCAAATTTTTAAAGAGTGCTTCCTTGGTCCAGGTTTTCCTTTAGCTATGGCTTTCATAATTTTGTATCTGCTGCATTCCTTCTTGATCTTGTCCTTTTTGGACAAAAGAGTCTCAATAAATACAGTAGCTCTTTATGACAGCCCCCAAACAAACCCCAACTCACTGGATAACGTTGTTTCTCTTAACTTCTACTTTCGTCATAGGTCTTTTGCCTATCAGTAGTTAAATACAACATTGTTATTTGGTTAACTATACCGTGGTTTAATGGAAAAAGTATTACCACTGGAACTCAAGACCACTGTTTTAGTCAGTCACTTACCTCTTTGTGTCCCCTTCATCTATAAAATGGAAGTAATTTTACCTCTTGCCTATCTGGACAGTTTTAAGAAAAAAAAATGAAAAAATATATATAAAATTGTTTTAAAAAGCTTCTCTTGAATAGTGCTCTATAAATATAAAAATCAGTAAATCTGAGCTTGAAATTAACTTATAACTTGTCCCCTATTAAACTGCTCACCGAAGATTATGGACATGCATGTCTGAGAAAAGCATGGAAATTGGTTCAGATCCAGCCCTGCTACTCAATGACTGGCCAGCCATTTTTTTTTACTTCAGCTTCATTATCAAAGTGGAGGAATTCGTGATGGTCTGTACAGTGCTTTGAGACTCTGAAGCTGTCTTCAGAGACTGAAGTTATGAAAAATTCGAAAATAGTAGAGAAAATCAGAAATGACCAGTCCTAAGGAAGAATAAAATATATAAGGTGAGGAAGTGTAAACTGAGAAGATGTAAAAACAAGTTGCCTCCTCACGAATACAAATAACATACACATCCCTGCTCCTCCTAGAATAACTTCTGTGTAGAAAATTAGTCAAGAGAGAGTGGTTATTTGAGCAGAGGGAAGCAGGGTGGGAAGAAACTTGCCATAGGAAGACCAGGGGAAGAAGCATTCCCGAAATAGGGGGAACAGCCAGTGTAAAGGCTCTGAGGTGGAAAGTAAGCTTGCCTTGTTCCCACTTCAGAGTGAAGCCCATGTGACTCAAACTTCGAGGTGGACAGAGGCCAGCTCACTTAGGGCCTTGTGATGGGAGTAAGCAGGAGAGTGACATAGTTTAAGACTTAAAAGATTATTTGAACTGTTCTATGAGAATGACAACATAGGGACAGGTGATGGTGGGGAGGCCAGTTAGGGGCCACCTGTAATAGTTCAGACAAACAATAATGTGTCTGGGCCAGAGTGGTAGCTGTGGAGGGAGTGAGACATCGCTCGCTGTGAGATGGGTTTTGAAGTTGAGCTAACAGGATTTACTGATGGATTGGTTAGTACTTAGGAGCTCAGTAAACAGTACAGACTGGCAAAAGGCTTTGGGTCCACCCACAGTGTCCGTTGTTAGCTGGCAGTGTGACTTTACCACGGTTCATTTCCTCACTTGTAAGAATGGCGTGAAATAATAGCACCTACTTAAAAGGTTTGTTGCAAAATAAAGTGAAATTCTCCATAAAAACTCTCTTAGCCTAATACGTGTTAACTATTATTATTATCATTAGGGTAAGTATTACCATTTTCCACACATGATTATATTGGCTTTAGGATTAGTCTCCCAGCTACCAGCCTTACTGACCTCCTGTCTTGACATGAGTACAGCCATGTTTGGCCACTCCATTGACCTACAGCCACCAGCACAAAAAGAAATATAAAAGCTGCTTTCTGCGTGGTGGGAACTGGCCCTTCTCTCACGGAGGGAGTTGCAGGTTGTAACATTTCAAGGCTCTTGGAGCGTCGTAGCACGGGATGGACTGGCCATCTATGCCGGGCTGGGACGATAACCAAAGAGAACAATGCACGTACACAACTACTGGGCTGGGACGTTAGCCAGGGGGCTCAGTGCACGTACGCCACTGATAACCATTTTGTGCATGGGAACACTAAATGCTTGCTCTGCAAACTCTGTAATTGCTTACTCTGAAAATTACTGATGGTATAAAAACTGCTGGAAACTGAGCCCGAGAGAGAGTTCCACCTGTGGAAGGGACACCTTGCCCAGGACGTGTGATCCTTGCCCAGCCACGTCGATTGACAGGGCTCTCCTGGCAGTGGGGCGTGGATGTTGTGAGTAACTGATTTGATGTGAAGTAATTGATTTGATATGAAGTAATTGATTTGATGTGTTCTCTTTTCGGTTAACCTGGTGTTTCTCTTTCTGGTTGATTTGTGTCATTTCTCTTCAGCCGATGTGGGTGTTTTCCCTTTCCAGTCGGGCTGATGTTTTTTCCCCTCTTAATATTTGACCTATTTGGATCTGTTTGCAGACTGTCACCTTTACTATCCTCTATATAATAAAATATACCTCCAGTCCATTTGTTTGGAGTGGAAAGTGTCTTTTACGTCTCCGATTGAATCCCCGAACCTCTCATAACACCTCCATACTCCTCAGCTTGTCTTTTCTAAAATACCAATTTCATGTCACTGTCCTGCTGAAAATCCTCAGCGGCTGCCCATTTTGATAAAATCAAAACTACTGGGAATAGTACATTTGGTCCTTGATAATCTGACTCCTTTCCTACTGCTGTCACCACTTCGACCACCTCTCACTTAATTCTTTGGTTCTAAGGAGATGTTTGCAGTTCCTGAAGCAGGTAATAGACCTTATTTCTTTCTTGCCTGTGCCTTTTCCCATGGTTTTCTCTGCCTGAAATGACCTTTTCTGGTGTTCTTCACCAGCATCAGAATTTTGAAAGATTGCTTTATTGTCTTCTAGCTTCCAGTATTATTGTTGAGAAGTCCAAAACCACTTATTTCTTTTTTTTTAAAATTTTTTGTTTATTGCAGTAACATTGGTTTATAACATTGTATAAATTTCAGGTGTACATCATTATACTTCTATTTTTGCATGGTTTACATCATGTTCATCACCCAAATACTAATTACAACTCATCACCACACACATGTGCCGAATTATCCCTTTCGCCCTCCCCCCTCCCCCCT